TTTGAACTTATTTAAACAACTAAACAATATTAACTCTAACTAGTTTTGACTTAATTCCAACAACTAAATCCACCAACTAAACCACATTATTTATTTGAACTTATTTCAACAACTAAACAACTTTTTAATTCTAACTAGTTTTAACTTAATTCCAACAACTAAATCCACCAACTAAACCACATCATTTTAAATAATGAGTCAAACTAGCTAGGGGTTAATTAAACTTTATTCGAACTTATTTCAACAACTAAACAACATTAACTATAACTACTTTGGAATTAATTCCAACAACTAAATCTACCAACTAATAGGATCAACTAGTGTTGGTACTTATGCTTTAACAAATATATTATTTCTAAATTTAAAGCCAAGTGTCAACACTAGATGGACACAAATTGATCTTGCAAGAAAATCAATTTTGTCATCAGTAGGATCAACTAGTGTTGGGTACTTATGTTTAACAAACACATTATTCCGAAATTAAAACTTTAATATCAACATTAGATGGACACAAATCGATCTTGCAAGAAAATCAATTTTGTCATCAATAGGATCAACTAGTGTTGGTACTTATGCCTAACAAACACATTATTCCTAAATTAAAGCTTAGTATCAACACTAGATGGACACAAATCGATCTTGTAAGAAAATCAATTTTGTCATCAATAAGATCAACTAGTGTTGGTACTTATGCTTAACAAATATATTATTTCTAAATTTAAATCCAAGTGTCAACACTAGATGGACACAAATTGATTTTGCAAGAAAATCAATTTTGTCATCAATAAGATCAACTAGTGTTGGTACTTATGCTAAACAAATACATTATCACCTAATTTAAAGCTAAGCCAACCCTCGATGGACACAAACAAATTATCACAAAATTAAACTCAAGTATCAATACTAGATGGACACAAACACATTATAGAAAACAATTGTACTTGAACTTTAGAAATTTAAACACATTATAGATAACGAATACTGTCTTATTGATTAAAGGTCTCTTTTTTTATGGGAGCATGCTGAAATTAGTTTCTAAAATGTTGTGTGCTCAAGGAGGTCAGAAATTGAGTCCTTTTCTATGTGCGCATGTTAGTGGTTTCCATACTTCAAAGGTAAAATGGTTTGACTGGATGCTATTACTTCATGCAGCCTTTCTATGTTCATATGTGCATACATAACATTGGCAGGAGTGACTGAATGTTCTTGCTTCTGCCTTATTAACTTGAATGGTTCTCCAATAGGACATGGCTATTTATACCTAAGCTCCACTTGTTAATTCTGAGGTTTCTTGTTTGTTTTATCCAGTGGTGTGTTTGTATATCTTTCAAACAAAGACGGTTTACGTAAAATAAATGCAGAAGAGTGCTCACTAACTTCCATACAACTGACTCTTGGGTAAGATGACTGATGAATGTCACAAATTACTTGGGAATCAGTATGTCTTCTTGTTTCCATACAAAGATTGTTGGAATGAACTCTATTGTTTCAGAGTGTCAGTTTCATATTGAGATAAAGGCTCCAGTGAGTCAAGAGTTAATTTTTCTCTAGAGAGTCTAGACTCCTAATAAATCTACATTCACATACATTGTTTCTCCTTCCATCCCAAGTTTGATTATCTAGTTTTGCCAGTCTCATATAACTAGAGCTTAAATAAATTTGAATAGTTTTAGAGTTCTAATATTAGAGTTATTTACAGACGTGTTTGAGAAATTGTTGGACACTACGTAAACTTCAATTTAGCTTTATTACAAGTACTGTTATGTATGTATGATGATTAATCAAATACCTGGATTACTAGAACATCGCCGAAGAGGAGAGGAATGGAGATGCGAGGGTCTCGCTGTTGTTGTTGTTGTCTTCGATGGGGTTCGCCGGAGTTGGCTGCTCGCCGTTCGCTGGTCAGAGCAGCTGGAGCTGCTGTTTGTTGTTTTCGTCCTCACTGGAGCGGAGGAGAAGAGAGAAAGAGGCTCGCCGGCTTTCGCTTGCTGGCGAGAAGAACGGATCTGAGGCGCCGCCCAGTTGCCGGCTGGTTTTCGCGGCTGCTCGCTGGCCGGCGCCGTTCGCTGCTTCGCCTGAGCTGCTAGGAGAATAGAGGAGAGGGAGAGATGGCTTAGGGTTTTGGTTCTTTTGGTTTAAAATTGATAAGAATGAAGATTTAATCTCAGTCTTTGGTTTGAATGATATGGACGATCAAGATTTGATCTTGTAGTTGATTTGGATGAATGAATGGCTGAGATTAAAGATGGGGCTTTTGAGAATTGAATTGAATCATAGGCTATAATTGAAAAGTGTTGAGAGGCTATAATTGAAATAAGCAAATGGCCATATTTGACATGAAATTGGATATGAAAGGCTGGAGTTGAAATAGAACTGGATATGAAGAGGGCTATGAATTAAACAAATTGAACAAAAGAGGTTATGATTTAAATGATTTAAGGAGAGATTAAGGAAATGCTATTCAATTAATAAAATACTACATATATTAAAGTATTTTCATATAAATTAAACACACCTAAATTTAAAAACATTTAAATAAAGTAGTTATTTCGAGTTTAACTATCGATAAATATAATAATTTAATAATAATAATTGATAATTTTGTAAATTAGCGATACTATAATATATAATTTTAGACAAAATCGATTAAGATTTTAAAACTCGTAATATGTTTTTAAAATATGTATTTAATCGAATAAGTCAGTCAAAATCGAGTGTCAACAATATATATATATATATACCTCCTAATTATATAAATTTAATTTTATCGATCAACAGAAGTTTATCAATATCAAATTTAATATATAAAATCTCCTTAAATTGATCATCGGTATTTCTTTAATTGATAATATATTTCATATCTGAAACATTAATATATAAGACTTGATTTGTTAAACTACTCGACGAGTATATAATCAACATATTTCATACTCCAATGAATTATCCTTTACATGTCAGTGCCTACGGTATGATCACTACACTTGACATCCATTCAAGATCGAACGTAAATATCTTGATAGAACTTGCTTTGTACAGTACTTTACGATGTTCTATTGTCTATTTCATAAAATGAAAATTTAGTATTATGCACAATAGCAAAATTATGATTAATAGGAATATTTTAAACAAACCGACCTCCGGGTGTCGCTTTTATTAAAAGTAATTAGATTAAATAAAAAATACCGACCTCATGAGGTCGGTATCACATTAAATTATAAGATAAATAAAAAGTAGTCATGTTAATTAAATAATACTAACATAAGGAAGTCGGTATTTTATATTAATTTATTTTTGAACTTATATAAAACCGTCATCCGGAGGACGATTTATTTAAAGTTAATTGAAAATATTAATTTATTAATTTTCTGGAAGTCACTATATAAATATTTTAATGAAAATTAATTTAATTACATACTATTTAATTTTACTGACTTTCGAAAGTCGGTATTATAATTCTTTGTTTTTTATTTTACACAAAATCGTCCTCAGGAAGACGATTTAAATAAAATTAATTCAAAATATTTCTCAATTTTGTTTTTTTATATTTAATTGAGAAAAAATAAAATATTATTATTTATTGATTTATTTAATACCGACATCAAGAGGTCAGTTTTTATTGTAATTCATTTTGTTTAGGAAAAATTCCGACCTCCAGAGGTCGTATTTGATTTTCCCACTTTATTTTTCATAAAAACCGACTCCTTGTAGAAGTTTTTTTATTTTTTATTCTTTTTAACAATACCGACCTACAGAGGTCGGAAATTACCGACTTCTATTTGAGGTCAGTAATTTTTAGGTCGGTATTTACTATCTTTTTAGTAGTGGAACAAGTGACGACCATAATGAAGCAAGAACATAATTAGTCAACAATATCACGAATACGCATGAGGACTTAGACCCCCACACCACGCTCTTTTGGGAAATGGGTTCTTTGAGATTTAGTGTATTAAGTTATATTAATATGCTTTCCTTTAATGTTATTTTAATAAATATGGATCAAATAGTAGAGGGCCAAGTGGATAGCCAATTTGATTGCCTCCCGAAAGTGAACCCCTACTTATTTTGAGCATGTTCGAGGGTTACTTATATTGAGCATGTTGGAGGCCACTACAAGTGTTGTTCTTCTATCCACATATCGTAATATTACAAGGTGAGACTTGGGGAAATATGGTGAATGGTGATATTGAAAAAGTTTGGACAAATTAGGAATTAATTTTGATCGGCGGCGAGTAATGATTTGTAATAATAATTTTCTAAGGTAAGAAGCGCATGACAAACCATTTTGGTAAAAAAGGAAGAGAAACTATAATAAGATAGTGCAATAATCCAAGTACTAGAGATAGTAGAATGTAATAGAATTTGGAGGACAAAAATTACTGGAGAAATACTACTACTACTATTAATGAAGGATAAACAAGACAATACTATACTACTACTAACATCTTACCGTAATTTGTGTCATCTACAACCTCATATCTAAAGTCATGCATCTGATGTGAATTTCTGTTTTCTTAGGGTCTTCATGTTGGGTTATGAAGGTGATTAGGGCATTATGCGAAAATTTACAATTGCAAATCATATGATCGATAAATGAGACACAAAAACTTATACTAAAAAACATAATATTATTATACAAAAACTAATATAAAAGAAATATTAGAACTGTTGAGATAATAAATCTCCCCATAAACTAAACTCTTAAACGTCTATATTGTGGATGTTCTTGTGTTATGCTATGAGAATAGAGATCTTCAAATTTTTCATCTAAGAAAAGAATAAACCAAATATGAAAGAAGAATATATTTTTTTTCATGAAAAGTAAAAACATATATGATAATGTTTTGTCTTTTCTTTTAGGAAAAAATAAACTTCAAATAAGGTAAGAAAATCAGAGCAAAACCCTAACACTTCACTCTTCAATGCATGTTCATTGTTTGTCTACTTGAGACTTCACTTGTATAGTAAACTCTCATGTTTAAGTAGGCCATAATGAGTAGAATCCAAATCAAAATAACAGTACACACTTGTATGTCTTAATTCAGTACAATAGTTACATATATAACTGATTGTAGGATCTAACAGTTACAGACTAACAAATGTTTCATATCCTAAAATCTGACAAAGCAGATTTCCCTCCTATCCCTGTTGCATTATAATGATCTGCATAGTCCTTCACACTAGTTTCCCTATACCTCGCGGGATTATCTTCTGATAACAACTCCTTAATTGGTCCATAAACTCTTGACGATAACGAATGACCCGTGGTAAAGAAACTGGCCATCGATACTCTTGGACCAACACGGCTTGCCAGTACTCTGTGTGCAATGCTCTTCAACTTGTCATTTGATATGAGCTGCAAATTTTCCAACAAAACTGAGTTGAGCACATTTCAAATTCAAATCTAAAAATATCCCAATCTTTGAATCATTTCTAAGAAACCTGCCACAAGAGCACCATCACCACCACCAACAACAACAAAAACATTGTAATGGCCACAATTGAGTCTGGGGAGGATAGAGTGTATGCGGACATCGAACTTTACTCTTACCTTGGGAGGTAGAAATATTGTTTTTGATAAACCCTTGCCTCAATGAAGAGCATGATATACTATGATATATGAGTTTATGCCACAAGATTAACAACAACGATAATAAGCCCAATGTAATCCCACAAGTGGAGTCTGAGGATGATAGAGTTTATGCAAAATTTATCCCTACCTTAGGAGGTAGAGGATGTTGTTTCCGATAAACCCTCAACTCAATGAAAAACATGATACACTTTCTATATGAGTTTATGCCACAAGAGCAACAACAACAAGAACAATAATAAACCCAGCGTGATCCCACAAGTGAGGTCAGAATAGAGTTTATGCAGACCTTACCTCTACCTTGGGAGGTAGAGAGGTTGTTTCCAATTAATCCTCGGCTCAATAAAAAGCATGATATATGAGTTTATGCCACAAGTGCGTAATATATAAAATACAATTACCTGTAAAAGTTCACCAACATTTACTACTAATGCACCAGAGACCGGAGGAATATCAACCCAGTAATTCTTATGAAGAACTTGAAGGCCTCCTAAATGATCTTGTAGCAGCACTGTGAGGAAGTCACTGTCTGAATGCTTTCCAGCTCCAAGAGTTAGCTCTGGCTCAGGGCATGCTGGATAACAATGATACAAAACAGCAAGCCCCTCTGAACAACCAATGTCATTCAGATAGCTCGGGTTGAGACCAAGCGCTTCAGAGAGTAATTCAAACAAAGAACGCCCTAACTTCTTCACTTGCTCCACGTACTCAATCAGAATATCCCTGCAGGAAAATAAAATAATGTAACAGTTCATAAGACTTTGTGTTACTTCTTTCACTCTCATCACTGAAAACTCTTGCCCTACTATTGATTACGTTTACAAATGACATTTAGACTATTAAGCCTTGCTATACCTCAAGAGAAGTTCCAATTTTCCCCACAGAAGTATATACTCTGTTTAAAAAAAATGATCTCTTTCCTTTTTCGGTAACATTTTAATTTCATCTTTTCGAGTGACATTTTTATGGTCACAAGATTAAAGGGCAATTTTGTACATTCGATATAACTTTAATTTAGGACCACAAGATTCAAAAGTCTTTTTTATTTTTCTTAAACTTCGTGTCAAGTCAAACTAGATCACTCTTTTTGGAACGGAGGGAGTATTACAATTTACAACATAAACACTACAAATCATATTGGGAAGAAAGCTTCAAGAACTTTGTTTGAACACCCTGAAAATGCATCTACTTAACTTTTGGGCATAAATTTCAAAATATGGTTGAAATCCGCCAGCATTTTCAGTAAGGATATTCAAAATATAAACAAATAAACACACGAATACGCTAGAAAAATTCAACATCTACTATATATACCTGCAAGCGTCTGGCAATTCATCAGCAGAAGGAGGGAGTGGAGCCATATTACAATAAGTAGTATCCCTCCAGTTAGCTGATGCAGACTTAAACAGATCAAAATTGCTATTATACACAACTTTTTTCGAGGTATCCCGCGTGTACCATTGTTTCTTCACCTCAGTATCTTGCTCATAGAATCTCCTAACACCATTCAACATTTCTTCCAAAACACTTCGAGGAATTCCATGGTTTACCACTTGAAAAAACCCCCACACTTCCGATGCATCCCGTATTTTTTCGATGATTTCCTTATGTTGAATTGGATCTTTACTTATGCCATCTAAGTCTATAACAGGAATACTGAATTGGTTTTTTTCAGGATCATTTGAATATGCATCTTGTGGTGTGTAGAAAATTTTTGGTACTGTTTTAACTCCTGCATCAACTAGTCCTTTAACACCAGCTTGTGTGTTATCAAAAGCTATTAATTCACTTCTTCTTTCATAGCTATGTTCATTTTTGAGAACCATTTTTTTTTTCTGCTAGAGAAATTAAAGCTTGAGGAGAAGAAATGAAATACTCCAACTAACTAAATGACAAAAGTTTTTTTTTTTTAATTGTATATTTCTATTATATAGAAAGGTGAAGAGAGGACGACCAAGAACATTTTTGTCAACCAAAATAAATTTCAAGCTTAGTTTAATTGTACGTTGTGCATAAAGTATTAAGATTTCCAGAAAACCAACCAAAATTTATGTAATTCTCAATGTATCCACCACTAAGTCAATAGTTGTGGATTCTAATGGCCACACGTGTACCAATACATTGGGAGGAGTAAAAGAAATTATTGCAAAGTTACATGGACCCCATTTATTGATTTACTCCAAAGCCTGTACATACAAGCTTATACATTTTTTTTAAAAATCTTTTTTATTTTTGAATGAGATTTTTTCATACCAAAAATTCAAATTTGAGGGCTTTAAATCATTTCCTTTCTTAGTGTGGTTTGGTCATGAAAAAATATTGTTTATTTTATTTAAAAAAATTATAGTTGAAGTCGTGTTTGGTTAAATTTTATACAAAAAATATTTCGAATTTAAATATACTTTTTCTAAAGGCATAATACATAAATATGTCATTTAATTTGGTTTCATCTAACATCTATGTCCTTCAATTTTAGGTGTTCATAAGTAAACACATAATCTTGTATAAAATTGAACAAGTTGACACTTGTGTTCTACTTGACGTCCTACATGACAATATAATTCACGTCCTATGCGATTTTTTATGTGGCTCCTACGTGTGTTATTCCCCGTAGGACGCGTGTTTCTACTTCTTCAACTTTATAAAATTTTAAGTGCTTACTTGTGCACACCCTAAGTTGAATGTCATAGATGTCAGACAAAGTCAAGTTAAAAGATATATTTATATATTAGGTTTTTCTAAATATGGATTATATTTCTCAGTTTCTAAAAATTACTTGACTAATTTACCTGAGACATACAACCAAATTGCACTAAATAAAATAATATCTCAAAATAGATAGTTGTATAATGTCATAGATTAGATCTCATATAAGAACTACCACATACTATTACAAAAAAAATATCACTTTATTTAATTTTTTTGAAGTTGAACTTGTGTTAAGCTATTGATTTTGCAAATAATATTTGATTATTTGAATGTGTTTTTTTAAAAAGTGGGGTCATTTTTATAAGAATAAATAATTTGTGATAAAATTTTGAAAAGGTTAATATAGTTAGGGGCCGTTTGGTTATTGGTTAGAGTTATGCAAATATTAGTTATGCATGGTTTAGTTATGCAGGATTTAGTTATGTGGTATCAGTTATGTTGGTATCAATTATGCAAGTATTAGTTATGTAGGTATTACTTAGTTATGTAGAGATTACAACAATACATAAATTATTAATTACTGAATATATATTTACAATTAATAAGCAAGCAAATAGTATAATTTCCCAAAAAAATAAATAAAGAAAGAAATCTTTTCTATACTTAAGTGGAATTTCTATTTTTTTTTCTATCTAAAAACATAACTCTTTATGTGTTTTGAGATTATTACTCAAAAATCTTTCTCTTAAAAGAGATGGTACTCAAACTGCTCAAAACTCTTTTGGAGATCTTAGTTTCCTCTCATCTTAAATGTAAAAACATTTACTCTTGGGAATACTTAGTTCCAATATATCATTTTAAAGAAAATGAACGTAGTTCTATTCTTCCTCAACTCATATGCTCAAGTCTTAAAACAAATTTTAAAAAAAGTTTGCAAAAGACTTCTTAAAATAGGGTTCATGCCGAATTATGGACGTGAATGACTTAATTCAAGGACTCAATGATACCTCTCATCTCAAGAATGTTCAACTCATAGGGTTCATGCGGAATTATGGGCATAGACTGCTCAACTCAAGGATCTTCATGGGTAACATGTAGTAGCCCCATGATTAGGAATATAATCCCTAAATGATTAGGAACTCAATACTCAAGACTTAGAACTTGAAGATACTCCTCCTCTCAAAGATACTTAACTTATGAAGTTCATGCGGAATTTATAGGCATGAACGACTCGACTCGAGGGTCTAAATAACAATATGGAATTCATGTACATGATTCTTCGCATTCTCATATTTACTTCCTCAAAACTTAGCTCAAATCAATAGTTGATCTCAAAGGATTTACAATTGAACTCAAAGATTTTCTTGAACTCTACTCTTAGCTCTTTCTTGAATTTGAATTTTGAATTATGAATTCAAGAGTTATGATTAATGATAGTGTAGACTCATGAATACATATTCATCATTCTCATACTCACTTACTCGAGTCTTGAAACAAGTTATTAGAAATTATAGAAGACTCCTCAAAAGACTCAAAGGGACTTTCTCAAAAGACTCCAGAGAACTCTCAAGACTTAATTCTTAGCTCTATCTTAAATTTGAATTATGAATTCAAGGTTATTATTTGTGGTAGGAAAGATATCGTAATGATTAAATGAGTTTTAGATAGTTAATCATGAGAAACGGTCAAGAAAACACTGTCCGGGAGCAATTAGTCCACGACGCAGAGATACATTTTAATATTTGATCGCGAAATAATATATTTAAGATTGTAATATTGGCCCATTAACGGGCCCTTTCATATCTAGTATATATATAAAGTGAAAGCATGGGTCATTTTTTTAGGTGGATGTGTGAACTATACTCTTGTACCAAATTGTACAAATCACTTTATCTTTTAGTCGGTTTAAATTTGTCTTTTATGGAAAATGGTCAAAAATAGTAGGAGTATTTTTGAATTATACTACTCCCTCCGTCCATCTTTACTTGTTTATTATAATAAAAATTATTATTCAACAATATTTGTTTAATTTAAAAAATCAAGAAATAATTTATTTTTTTGTGTCTATTTTACACTTGTTATTAAATACTATTCAATATCAAACACATTTTCTAAAAGCATAAAGTTTAATATATTCAAGGAGTAATACAATTCAGTATTATTATCATAATTATTTATTATTTTTAAGGTGTATATCAAATCAATAGTGTCCAACTATAATTGGACAAAGAAAATATTAATTAAGATATTTTTATTCATTTTCACATGGTTTATATTTTTACTCTTCTATCTTTTTTTTTTTATTAATGGACTTATTTTGAAAAGTAAGAGAAAAAAGTTTTACGCGTTGCATTCTCTATTAAATTGTACTCTCCATTCTCAAAAACCCCATCTTTCTTCACCCAACCTTGTAGTCCTCATCCCCATCCCACAAATCCACTCCACCTTTAATAATATATATCTAAATTATATATAAATAACTTCAAAATTATATTTTTTTGTTGTATCAAACATAAAAAGAAAAAAGAAAACGAAGTACATATAAAATTTATCTTAAAACTATGGAGGCTTGACCCAAAGCTAACATATCACATTATTCACACTATGTGTAAAGTATTTTTGGATTATTTTTAGTCCAAATATCGATATTTGAGCCAATAATTTGGTGAAACGAGTATTAAAATGACATATTGATGGCATGAGGCCCACCTTGGTGCCTTCGCTCATATACGCTATGAGATAATTTACTATTTTTATCTGTAGCTTAATTTTGAGACACGTATAGAATAATGACTATAATACTCGATTATGTGGACAGTAAACAGTTAATCTATGCATAATGTATGAGTTCATGAGGTCATAGATGATGTAAAAGGCTTAAGTCATCTACAGCTACTTAAAGTTACATCATATTTTATTTGGACATCTCAATTAAAATTTGTACCTATTGAATAATTTTACCATTTTGAATTGATACCTATTTGACATTCTTTTGACAATCATCCAAAATATTAAGTGTGTGAGTTACACTTGCAATGACATGACACAAGGACGAATCAAATTATGACATGTGTCATTTGAATCCAAAAAAATTATTTAAAAATATATTTTAAATGATAAAAGTAAAATAAAATTTTGTACCCCTAAAAATATCCACCCACCCACCCAAACCTTCCCACGTTACCCATCAGAATTTAGTCTCCCCGGCGTCGTCTTTTTTACTTCTTTTTTTTCTTCTTCTTCTTCTTCTTTATCATAAATTAACAATGGTAGATTATTTAGATTCAAAATTTTAAAAAACTTTAATAGTTACATTGTTGCCCAATCCACCCAAATTCTTCCCCTTCTACCCATCAGAACAATGGCGAAATACCCATTTTCTTTCATTTGAATAGCATCAAAACTTTCTATTCGTTACCTTTATGTTTTTCTCATTAGTAATCATTAATCACAATTACAATAGATAATAACAAATTTTTGCCTGAAAAAATCAATTCATATTTTTTCCATCGAAATAAATGGATGTTTGCCAGAATATTGAAGATGTAGATCTACGTAAAAAAAAGAGAGGAAAAAAACAGAAGAAGAAGAAGAAGAAGAACAAGAACGGTAAAGGGTGAGAGAAAGAGAGATGGAGGGGGTGGGGGTGTGGGGTGTGCCTGTGTAAAAACAATTATGAAGATGGTGAATGAGAACAGCACAGGGGTGAAATTTTGGGCTGGGGAAGAAGACTACATTTTCAAAAAATTAATATTTTTTTCCCTTTTCATTACTTTTGGTATATAAGTTAGAAAAAAAAAGAAAAATTATTAATTTCAATAGCTTTACGCACCAAAAGAGAGTGTAGCACACGTTTTTTGACATGTTAGCATTTTGTGTCTAATAGGAATGACTTTTGAACAAATAAAGTGTTGAATATACACAAAGATAAGTTAAGGTGTTCAAATGAAATATGCGAATAACTTTAAGGGGTTGCATATGACTTAAGCCTAATGTAAAACTTAGAATAAGAGATGTTTGGAGGTGTAAAGAATAAAAAATGTGATGTATGAGGTACAACCTATACTTTTTTCGTTTGATAGAATGTATTAGAAGAAATAATGCATGTATTAACTTTGTGTTTAGTAGTATTTTGTTTGATATATTTTTTCAACATATGTATAATTAATGCTTACACTCTATTAAGTATTGAAGACTATATTAACATG